CTCAGTCCCAAGGCAGGTAAGCATTCCCCACCTTCCCTTCACTCCCCTCTCCTGCCTGCCACTGCTGGGTGCGGTCCTGGGAGCAAGACAAGTGCCTGCCCACTCCAGCTGGGTTGCAGTTACTGGGAACTGTGGCGGCGGCAGCAGCAGCAGAGGCCCGGGGGCCTATTCCTCCTCCCTGCACCTGCTGGAGAGGGGATAAAAGGGGTGTGGCCACCCCTCTGGGTCTTCTCCCATGTGGGAGCAGTTGGTTATAGCACTGCTTCCTTGCACAGCTGGACTGCAAATCTCCCAAGTGCCTGAAGAGACAGGATGCCCCACGGTCGACAGCACCACAGCAAGGGCTGAACTGCAGGAGGTTTGTATGCTCTTTATTTCCATGCTTGGAGCTGTGATGATGCGGACAGCAGCAAACATGACTGCGCTGCTCCAGCAAACGTGGATGTCACTGTCTGAGACCGGCCGAGTTGCACATGTCCTTTTGCTGTCCTGCGTTTCCAAACCGCTGCAATAGACTGGTTCTAAATCTTCCAGCAACGCAAACAGAAGCTCCAGTTTCCCAGAAATGTGTCTATGTAGCAAACTTCACTCTGGCTGGCCCCATAGATGGACTTCCCTTCACCAGAGGACAATGTTTGAGGCTCTGGATCTTGGCCATAGCTGATGGTACAGCCCACGGCTGCCATTTGCTTTCCTGGACCTCGGCAAAAGCTCCTGCAGCTGGGCTCTGACCCAACCCTTCTACACTCCTGCACTCCTTGGGAAGGGTCTTGCTGGAGCTGGCGATCACGGCCTTGTACGTCTTCTGGAACTCCCTCACCAGCCGCAGGGCCTCCTGGTACTCCTTCGGGTTGGACGTCTTCTTCTTCAACACTGACACTAGGGAAAATCAGAGTCACGATCTTGCTGGCTCTCCCCTGGACTCAGTTCTCTCCTTGGGGTCACGCTGAATTTTATTCTCCTGTTGCTTCCCTCCCAACTCCCCTGGGGAAACCAATGGCCACCCCACCCTGCACCCTTTGCTTCACCAGTGCTCCCGCTGAGTCAGTGAGGATCAGCACTGGAAAGGCTGGCCCCGTAGCATAAGACTGTTTTTTTCCAGAAGCACCCAGGCATCAAGCGCCTCACTGCAACACATGAGCCTCCGCCGTGACTGTTACAATACGGTGGCAGCACAAAGCAGCTTAGTCCCAAAAACAATGAGGCTGCGGCTGTGCCTGAAACAGCTTCTGCTCTTCAAGGAGAGAAGCTGATTCAGCGGCCTGAGTAAATGATTCGGCCCCAGGCTTTCTGAGGCTGACTCGGAAAGCAGTGAGAACAGCTAGAGCAGGGAGGCAGTGGACTCCATCACTGGAGGGGTTCAAGAAGAGGTTGGACAGGCACTGGTTGGGGGATGATCTAGGTGTAGTGATGCCTGTTCTCTTATTATGGGGATTTTTCAGGCTTCTGGGCTTTGCTAGTTGCTGCATGGGCTGTGCAAGACTCCACCCCCAGCCCCTGGCTACATGTGTCAGGGTCTTTTTAAGCCTCCCCTAGAGGCGCTGAGTGCTGGCTGTAGGCCCAGGCTGGGGACGGAGACTGGGCTGTGCCAGTGCTCCTGCTGGGACTTAAAGCTGGAGGTTTCTAGCTAGAGGGCTTTGCTTCTGTTCAGACTCCTGCTGCATTTGAGGCCAGGAAGGCATGTTGCCCTTGGTCAGGCTGATATGGACTGGGGGGGTTTGCCTTCCTCTGCAGTGGGGGCACAGCCTCTACCTGGGATCTCTTGTGTGCATATTAACCACCTTTTACAGCAACAGGATGTTGGCTGCTGTGGTCCCCCTGCTTTACCTGTGGCAGGTGCAGGAGTTAGGCCTTGTGTTGTGTCAGGGTTGACTAGCTTTGCTAAGTTAAATTATGGAGTTGTACAGGCTGGTTTGAATACAGATGATCCTGCCTCAAGCAGGGGCTGGACGAGATGTGACCTCTGGAGGTCTCTTCCAGTCCCACCTCTCTCTGATTCTATGACTCCACTGTAGCCTGGAGCAAATCACTTAACCTCCCTGCCTCAGTTTCCCTCATCTGTAAAGCAGCAGGATGTGTGCAGGCCAGTGCTAGGGGTTGAGTCCACAGCCCCAGTGCAGAGTGATCACGGCACCTGAAACATGGCCTTTCAACCCGAAGCACTGCTGCAGAGGATTCAAGAGCCAAGCCAGCACTCCCTGTGAGCTCTCTCTTCCCCTCCAGAGCTGAGACGCCTGCCTGTCCTCCTCACCCTCCTGCTGGGGCTTGCATGGTGCTTTCTCAGATTTGAAAGCAATTATTTCCTGCTGTCAGAAACAGAAGCAGCAGGGTCCACGCTACCTTTACTTCCTCGTTTACCTGCATCTGAGCTGTCAAGTAAACACACACAGGTCTGGCTCTGGAGGGCCTGATTCTGCAACAGGCTGAGTCCTCCCAGCTTCTAAAACCCTCAGCACCTCCTGGAAGAGGATCATTACCTTGAAGAGATGGGGAAACCAAGGGGCAGAGACCTCGACATTGAGTGGAACAGCCATTGGCATCCCTGGGCCACGGGGAAAATTGGGGCAGAGCCCAGACATCCCATCCTAAGTCTGCTGTCTCAACCAGCGGGCCACCTAAGTTACCATCACTAATCTAATGCTTATAAGGCAGGTATGTCCAGCGCCTCCACACTCAGTTCTAGCACAATCTCTGCATATGATTAAAGCCCTGAGACAAGTCATGGGCAGGGGGGAACACACCTAGCGGTACTTCTGTGATGTTCACAGGCCATCTCATGGCCATCAGGAGGTCTTCTATCACTTCTGCCTTCGTCCGTCGAGGGGCAGGGCCAGGCGGCTTCCCAACCTGTGGGAAAGCAAGCAAGAATAAGGAGGGGTGACTCTGCCTCAGAGCGACTCCCCTCGTTCCTGTGAGCATGCCGAGAGTCCAGCCCTGTTCCCTCCTGCCCGGTCTCACGGGTAGGCAAAACGTTCCCTTGCCGGAAATGAGACCTGTCCATTTTAACCGCTGAGCTGCAGCACCGGGCAAAGCTGCTGGAGCTTTCGCTCAAGCCCTAGAAAGCATCCCAGGGCCATGCATCCTTGTTTTACTATGCTAGACTTGGCCATCTCTTTCAGCTGCCCGGTGCCACAAAAAATCCTGCTGTATAGGCCTTGAGGTGTTCTGCTGCCAGGTAAGAGTTTACTCCATAAATAGCTATTCAGATGGACTTTTCTAAATGCCATTCTGATCTCATTAAGCCCTAGCTGAGGGGCTATCAAACATATTGGACTCCTGAGTCCATTCACCAGAGCTGTGCTGGCCCACACCCATCCCATCCTTGTTTCAAACTGAACACTACAAGCCACCACAAAGCTTGGAACATGGCATGTCTTGGAGCCCACCATGCTCCAGGGTGGAGATCAAGTCCACACGACTGGATGAAGACAAGCTTCTGGCAATACCTTGACGTCCTTTACAAAGTTCAAATCCAGGGATGGCCGACCAGCGGCGTGGG